GCACTATATATTATCTCTAATGAATACTTGACATGCTAGAAAATTGTTTTATAAGTATGCAGGTACACTCGCTCGTAATTATTTCCATGCAAATCACGAAACGTAGTAAAAAAGTTGACATTTACTGGCTTATTAATTCCCTGTAAAGACTTGTACAGTAAAATGGGAAACTTTTCCAGGGGTAATAATGGCACGTTTACGGTGTATCGGTCTGATGAGCGAAGACGTGAGATATTTTCCAATTTCGAGCTGTCGATTGTGGACGTCCAAGGCGACTTCGTAGGTCAGGTAAGATCGCAAAAGGGTCGCGGGGAGATTGATGCGAAAAATCCAGTTTAGGCGCGAGAGTGCATTCCAAAGCCGCCCTCGAAATTTGTTAAAAGTAATTAAACATTACACAATATCCAAAAGTAAAATCGTCTCTAATAAATTATTTTAATTGCTGATTTAATACCAGCGTCCAGACATCTACGAAAATCTAGAAATATTAGTATTAATGTTGCTATAATTATTAATGCCAAGGTGGTTGGCGAAACGCGTTTTCTAAAACGATTAGGTGTAGTATGTGCGTAGCTGAATTGTGGTGAGGATGTCAACCTTAAAATAAAGCGTGTCTTCGGGTTGACGTTTGTTGTTTTTGTCGTATTTTGGGATGTTTTCTGGTCTTAATTTGGAGTTATCGATCATGGGGTTCCGAGGCGTATCGTGGGTCACGTAAGATCGCAAGAAGCTCGCGACACTTAAAGCCGAAAGGGTCGCGTGAGATTGATGCGAAAAATTTCGGTTAAAGCTCTGGAGTGGATTCTTTTGCATAGGCCGGAGATCTTTTCGAATCCGTAATTTGTGCAGAGAAGTTAAAAAAGCTCACTCCTTAAATATTTAGGGTTAATAATTCGGCGGGAAAAGTGGAGTGTGTTTCAGGAGAGCGCCGTCCTGATGAGATTCGGGGATTAGGAATAATTTCGCGTGGAAAAATTGGGGGCTTTATTGAATATATATCTCTAGAATTCAGGTCGTTAAGTTCTATAAGAGCGTAGATGCGGAAGAAGTTTTATTTCAGCATTACTGCGGATCTCAAGAGGCAAGAAGTGGTCGGTGTTATGTGTACTTATGTAAAATGGATTCTGCAAAAATCGCTTAGGTCGGGATTTTTAGAAATGTGCTCATAATCCGTCATATTATGCAGAGTGGGGAAATGGTGGGAAAAGCCCCGTCAACGTTCCGCTCTTCTGTCTGTCATACTTGACTTGTTATGTGCGAAATTTAATCTCATATTTCGTATTTTACCCGAAAAATACATTATAAACCGCACTTTTGTTCGGAAAAACAGCAATCCGTACGCTGCTCGCCTTTACGAGCTATTTCAACATGAGAATAAAGCACATGCTACTCTTTATAACCGTCTTAAAAATTTGTGTGGGTTCGAATACGCCAAGTCCGAGAAAAGTCGACATGCTTTTAACTTTTATTTACTCAATTTCGTCGCAATTTTTATAGTGCACAACAAACAACGTTTTCTATGAAGGTAAGTTTACAGCTGCAAATATATTGACCCATCACACGGCCGAGTAACCAATACCCATTCATCAAACACCTTTTAACCGACAAATAATAAAAACCTGAAACGACACCTTAATGGAGATAATATTTATAATCCTGACTGCAGCATAAAAATCTTTTACGGATTAATAAAGAGTTATGCTAATGCAAACTTGATAGCTCCTTAAATACCGCCCCGAATAAAATAAATGCCGCTAGTACCACAAAAAAAATTATAAAATCTATTATTCAGAAACAACACTCTCAAAAATTAAAAGTAAACACCAAAACCTTACCGTGCCACCCTTAAAATAACTTGAAGCTTATTTTTAGACAATAGCAAAATCAATAATTTGTTTTTAAGGGTTGTTACAACTGCTACTACTGAGGGCTGCTTTGTTCGAATTTTTCTCAAGAACGCATACGGCATTTTCCAAGCTAATCTCTTTAATTATGTATTAAAAGGTATTAAAAGTAGTATCCGTTAATTAAAAATTAAAAGAAACGTTAATGGGTTTCATCTATTAAATAATTCCAAGACTAAATGGACTATGTTCTTCTAATGTTATATGCAACGGAGTTAAAAAAAATGGCCTGAATATTGCAACAAAAATAGATGAAAATAGGTACAGTGTGAAACTTTTATGTTGGATTCAGTAGGAGTATTTAAATATGCACAACGAGACCATCTATAATAGAATTTGCATTTTATTGTAAAATTAAATTAAAATTCAAATAGCTCCAATGCATCAATGTTTATACAGGATTCCATATTGTATAATTTGTTTTTAGAAAATACAGAAAAACATTTTGTTGATACTTTTTTTTCGCAAAAATAAATTAACAAAAAAATACAGAATCAAGCTGTCAACACTTTTGCAGCCCCTCAAACCTGGACAGACGGAGTGAAAGCTTATTCAATAAAGAGAAAATCGATTATGTAGACACTTTTCAAAAAAATCGTGCTACTTTGACGCCCTCGCATAAGTCTGTCTAAAAGAAGAGAAAAATAATTACATCAAAATCGATAAATGTTTGACATCGGGTAAAAACTCTTTCCCCATCACTGTATTATCATATGAAATTGCTTACGGTAATCGACAAGCGTTCCAGCTCTTTATATTTACATTATCACCAATAAAATCATCCAACACAGGACTCATTAGTGGTAGTATACTCACGTTAAATATTTATGAACGAATACTAAAAATAAACACACAGTAATTCATTTATTATTCATAAATCCGTCTCATATTTTCACTCAATTTTTTACGTTTGCTTAAAATTCTCTTTACACATGATTAATGCGAGAAGCTAAATGAAAAAATAAATGAAAACTAATTTTCTTGTAGTAGATACTTAAAAATAATGAATATATAAAGTTGACTTAAGTTTTTTTAAAGACACTTCGTTAATTTCATTCGTTTTCTTTACGAATAAAACATTAAAGACGTTTACTGGTTGATATTTTTACTTCTGAGAATTTCTGAAGCAGAAAATACTTTCAAAAAATCTCAATTATTTGTCGATGGAAATTTCGGAACGTAGTTTGCGCCACTGTTTTCAACTTACAGAATTCTAGACATTACCCAAGAACCATTATAGACTTTTTTATCAGAAATGAGATAAAATAGTCAGGTTTTGTCCACAAAAACTGCTTTTACTGGATCCCATTTCCGACCAAAAAATTCGATAATGTTCCTTGGGTAGTAAAAATGATGATGGGAAACTGTCAAAAACTATCATTTGTTATGTAGAGACATTTGTGGACACGTTATGTTTACTTTTCATAACTATAAATCCGTTAATGATGGAGATATTACATCCTGAAAATATATTCAATAGAAAAACATAGGGACTGGCTTTAACCTGACGATTTCGGCCAAGAAAAAAATAAGATAATATAATTTTATAAATTTATCTTCTTCACATTTTTCTGTAATTTTTAAAGAAACAAACGTTAAAAATTGACAGATTTATTAATTTACCGGAAGCTCAAATAAAGTGGCACAATAACAAATGAATTTCAGAACCCACCAGATTTAAATCATTTATTGACATCCGATATGTATACAGGTAGAGAGTAGAGTCAAATAACAAATTAAGAAAAATGTCAAAAGAACGAAGTTATGTTTTTAATTAGAAGTAAATTTTACCATGAGATACACTTTATGTAACATTGGGTGTACCTTGATAACTTAAATTAATGCCAGATAAGACAATCGTCTTAATATTTTATTGAAAATTACTTTCGTTTTACTGCCACTCATTCATCTAACTGCACCTGTGGAGCTCTGGAGCATCCGAATAAGTTTAGCGTTAGACATTGTTGGTAAATATATCAAAGGAAGGCAGCGATTTATTGAATACTAAAAACATAACCTGGGGACGGGCTGTTGATGTCAATTTTTTGATGCACAATCTAAACTTTGGTTCAGCTACAAAACTGATTGCTTTTAAATATAGTGAACCATTAAGGAAGAACATCCTTATAAATTTGTTTCACATAATCCTAATTTTCATCATGCATGGAGCATGTATTACCACTTAACCCTCTCCAATTCTGTAGTCATTTCGCTCGAAAACGTTAAACATTTCTACTTGTTGATAATAATCGTAGTGAAAGACTGGATCGAACTACTGGACAAAATTCTTATATTTAACTGAATACCGGCCCACGCTCTTCCGGGTTGTTGCGTCAGTATATACATCACCCTTTCAGTTGCAACGTCTAACATTTATAGAAATCTTTTGAGTAACAATTATGCGGATGACGTAGCTGTCTTAACTGGAACGGCGCGTTGACGGTTTGCAATTACTGATTTTAAAGACGTACTAGAATACAAATCTATCTATTGTGTTTTGAATAGTAGCTGGTATTCAGTGCAATACTTTTTCCACTAGTAGGAAAAAGTAAGCTTCGTTTACCGTCGCCACGTAAATCCCCTGCTTTGGAAAATATTCATATGCGACGTCGAATAATTGATCGATCGGTCGAGCTTTTTCCTTATTTGTAGAAACTCATCTCATCCCCAGCGGTCGTACTTTAAAGGTGTGCACGTACATATCGTCCAAATCAATACAATCTTGTGAAAGCCCCGAGACAGCTAGAAATAATTATGAAGCGGCAGGAAGAAACGCGGAAAGCTCTCGTCGTCGCGAAAGCTCCCCTGTTTTGCGGCAGGTTGTTGTAAATACGCCCTAAAAAATTTATACATCGACGACGCAGCTTTTAAAATATAAGATGAGAAATTCTATCTTGAGGGGTAAAAATTCACGTCAATTGGTTTGCAGCGTAATATAAAATGTTTATCCCCGTCTATTTCCGAATTGAGGACTGAATTTCAACGGGGCCAGGCCTGCGCCTGAGCGTAGGCCACCAACACGGCGGTCACGTGACGCACCGACGCAGTATGGCAGCCGAAGAGTGCCAGCCAGAAACCAGTTCAGTCCTCCTCAGTGCCCCCGAGCAGACGGTGGGGTGTAGACGTGCTGCAGTCTGCAATGCACACTGTACACTTACGTGCAAAATTAAGCGGACAGCTTGACCGAAGCCCAGCCTGAGATGCCGAGCGCGCTTCGATCGCAGCAGGCCGTGCAGTGAGCTCGCGAGCACCGCGCTCACAGTGCTCACACCCGCGACCTCGGGCGGCCCGGCGAGCCGGGCATTGCGCTCACTTCGAAATGTCCAGATGAATTTTTAACAGGTTGCATCGGCAGAAGTGTTTTTTCCGGGAGTGCGCGAAACGAAACTGACGATTGCTCCACTGACCCAGTGAAAATGGCACGGAACCACGCGCTGGCTGCCATCGTGCTCCTCAGCTGCCTGGCCCTCTACTACAACAGCTGCTACTGCGGGTTCGTCTTCGACGACATCAGTGCCATCAAGGACAACAGGGACCTGCGGCCGCACTCCCCCTTCGCCAATGTTTTTTACAATGACTTCTGGGGCACCCCCATGCACAAGGTAAGACGCAAAAACGTGGCCCTTTGACACTTCAGCCGAAAGCGATTAGTGGAAAATTGGCGACGAGGCGGACGCAGCTCACGCCACTCTTGTTTTGATAAATTGCCTCTCCGGGTAATGAGGGCGGACGATTTTCGCAATACAGATGTTTTTAGATGAGAACGTTTACCTACAACCGCAAACAAGAGGATTTGCGCCCTTTAACACTTCTACAAGATCTATCTAATATCAGCAAAAAAAGTAGACATAGTTACCAGAATTTCAAATCCCAACGTTGATCGTGAAATCAAGATATACAGAACCAATTAAATCTTGTTTTATCGGTCGAGCTTTTATGTAAAAATACTGGTATTACCAGGCATCTTTGCATATCTCGGCTTAAGTAAATCATCAGTGCTATCGGAAGGCGTTGGTAAAAGTCTTCACAATCAACGTGTCAGACCCAGGTAGCCCATCCACGTAGTTTTAGAGGAACTAAATACTTCTTTTAGTGTTTGATGGGTAAATAGAATGCACTGAACTCAATAGTTGAAATTCCGCTCTACCCACGAAGTCCTAGTCTCTAGTGGTTCTCACATGAGATGTTAAAACGGGCTTTTGTATTGTTTGTACACAAATACCATATACAAGTGTAACTACCACAATAAAGTTAAAATAGTGTGATAACGTGTCACCTTTTAACCTTTTCAGTGCCTGTTTTTCGCAACACTGTGATACTCAGATTTGTTTTGATTATAAAACTTTGGCAAGAAACCAAGTTACAAAATTTTGTAAAACGACAAGCTTTGTGTTTCCTGATTAATTTAATATTGTTTTTCGTGTTTGATGTATCTTTATAGAGCTTATCGTTCACAAACATTTTTTTTATATTTGTTATTGGCCATCTGTGTGACTGTCACTAGTTTGTGTACCGTGTGATTCCGAGAAAATGTAAAGTCCAACAGCACTATTAAGTCCTCTATGGAGAGTACATAAGTGCCATAGAAATAATATTTTTAAGGTAATTATTAACATAATAACTCGATAACTCGTGTTTATATTTTAAAAACCTGCAAGATAAAACCCTTTGATTTCTCAAAAGGTCGTTAAACTGTGTTTCGAAACATCTTCAACACTTTTCTAATGCGGTTGAAAAAAGCAGGGGATCAATAGCTCTCAGGTTTCTCTGAATTATCTGCTAATAGATCTTGGTTTTTGACAAATAGAGTCAACCTGGCGGACTTCTAGTCGGTTTAAATGGATCAAGTAAGTGCAAAAGCAAGTATTTATAAATTGTGTTTTATGCGCCATCAGATTTCACTGCTTTATTATTTTTCTCTATAACTTTCTCAAGTGCTACATCATTTGTTTAAACAGTTATTACTGTCGTATCATTAGATTTTTAAATGTTGCTGTAGTGGATTATTTTCGATATAAAACCTGTAGGAATTTTACTGATGCTCTTGCGTACTTTTTCAGTAAATATGAAAGATTATAACAAATTCCGAACCAATTATTTTGTTTCAGTTACCCAATTAAAGTATTAAATTAGCTAAATGTGTCTCTTAATAAAGGTAAGAGTGACATAGACAACGTAATATACACAAGAATAATAACAAGTACTAAAATAATTAAAAATAACTAATTATAATTTGTCAATAAAAAATAGCATTACCGTAAATGGTCGAAAAATTTCCGAAGAGATCTTGTCGATATTTCACGGACCATGCGTAAATTTCAGGGCCGTATTTAGAAACACTGAAGGGGCTGCTTATAAACACAAACAAAATTCTTCACAGGGATTGCAGTTAAATTCATTTTATAGCTAAGGCAGGTCCGTTCCTGTTCGCCAGTTGACAACCGCAAAACCCCGAGGGTGTGAAATTTATGGCTTTACGGATTAAGAATTTAAGCTCTTCAACTTTAATTAATACAATTCTTATAACAAAGAAAAATAGTAATAAAATAAATATTATGATTAATAAATAATAAATAATAACAATGATAAATGAATTATTCTGCAGGTAATAGTTACTGGATCCAAAGAACACAGTTTGACATTTTATCTTCGTTTCCAGTATAAAGTCGACTTAATTCAGATTATCCTCCAGTTTCTTCTCTTGATTTTTTCATTATCTTCACCTGGACCAATTGACACACAGTAAACGTATTTATTTCTCATAACTTAGTATCATCACCATTACACCAAAAATTATCACATCATATTTCATCATCTTCAAGATATTCATCTTCTTGCTGCTGAAACCTCCTTGGCGTCCCACAATTCGGTTCTTCTGGTGTCTTTTTCCGCTTTTCCGATGATTATTTTTATCGGAAGTCGGGGTTCCAGTTATAAATAGACGTGTTAACCTTTGACGACGGCTTGATCCAAGCCAGATGCACGACCACCCTTGTCTTCACCTGCATCCTTCGCGATATAGCACTGCACCAGTTGCTCGGGACAAAGTAAGAACACGAAAAACGTGGGCCTTTGATACTCGAACCGAGAGTGATTAGTGGAAAATTGGCGACGAGGCGAACTGGGTCCCACCAGTCTTGTTTTCAGAAGTTACCCCTCGGCGAAGTGAGGGTGTACTAATTGTAACTGTCGTTTTTAACCACTGGTTGCAGTTAACCATCAGTCTGTTTCATGTTAACAATAAATTTTCGGCGATCAGATCGATTGTTGCAGTAAAGAGAACCAATTAAATTTAATGTCACTTACGAGACTTAAATGTGAAAATATTAACGACCAAGTATGGAACTAGTAAACCAACAATAATAGTGTGTTTAACCAGAGTTTAACTTTCGCTCTAGTTATAAAACTTTCTGTTTAACTTGTTGGTGGAAGATGCAGTACACAAATAGTGAATTCATCTGTTGCATTTACGTTAGAATTATATTCACAATGTTAAAGTTTCACTTTTCTTAGAAATTAGCTGTTCATAGATAAAGATATAGATTTTTTCTAATCTAGTTCTGGTTTATATAAATAGTAGTTTACTTAAACCATGGGTTTATCTGTAGGTGTGCTTATGTGTCTTTTACATCTTTAATAATATTCCAGTCATGGTAATCTGTTCAAATTTGTACAGGAGACGGCCCTGTTTTGCTTGCATGAAACAGCTGGAGGGAAACGGATTTACTATGTGGGTTGGTAAATCCTCACAGTTACACCTAAACACTTATAATTATTTTCGCAGGTCATAAAACCGATACACCTTCTGCCTGATTATGCCTGTGGCTCTTGACTCTAGTTTAACTACATTGTGAAAACTGTATAGACTGAGGATCACTGATCATAGGGAAAAAAAGCAATATTCTCAAATTTGATCACACAAAATTAGTTAAAATCGGCTGATTAACTTATCAAAGCTTTTATAATGTGCTGTTGAATGTATACCATGAACCTCGCTATTAATTCCTCGTAATTTATTACAGCGCATTGATTTTGGCAAAAATTTCGTAATCATTTTCGAAACGTTTCATAATTTAGAAACCTATCCATCCCTCCGAGTATGCAAATCTGTGCCTTGCAGCGTGTATTTCAGCAAAGTTTCATGTTGATCTTCTTGCGGCTATTCTGACGAGTTATATCCTGGTTGTTATTTTTACCAATTTTTTTTCAAATATTAATAAGCATTATTTATAGCTGCCCAAGTTGGTCGAGTAGATGCCAAACGTTGATCCGAAATAAATAATTGATTGTTATATCTGGAGCGCCGATCTTCATCTTAAAACTTTCCGCGGTGTTTGTAAAAGTTCAATTCAGCACTTCTCGGATAAAGCGTCCTCCTACAGCGCATAATTAGGATTAAACAAATCCTTTCTGTTTGGTTCAACGGTCAAAATCAAGGCTGAGTTGCATTGATCCGCAGCGTGTTAAAATTCGCAAAGCTGGATCGTTTGTTTGGAATTTACATAAAACTCTTCCACTTCACACGTTCTCTATCCTCCCATAATTTTTTCACCGTTCTCTCCATGATCCTCTTTGTAGGTTCCATTCACCAATGTTCGCGATCATTAATATATCAGGCCAATTGGGATTCAAAGCGGCCCTTTTCAAGGCAGGAATATATCAAGGAGAGACACCCGCCTTTGTGTTCCCCGGTTTTATTCAACATTTGTCCTTCTGCCGTAATTGGAAGCCTCTTAATTCTTAAAGAACACGGCGATATCTTTTTATCGCGATCACATTCACCGATTCGGCTCTATAATCTCGCGGATTATCTCCGAAATGGGAAATAAATCTCCGAAAACTACAAAATATCAGTTTATCCACTTATCAGGTAGTGTTATAAAACGAGAATTTCCATTTACAAGGGACTTAGACACGCACAGGGCTTAAGCGACCAATGCACCCGCTCTTTGTTCTAGCCCAGTAATCCTTTAAGTAATCAAAATCGGATTTTGTCAGGGTAGATAGGATTCCGGTGTGGATATGACCATGCATTGGTGAAAAGTGCCGCATTTCTGGGTTAATTACGGACGCGGAAAAATTTAATGCTCGTTGCAGGGGCAACTGCTCATAAAAGAAACCACCGTAGTAGAAAATTACTTTTTTGTAATATTCACTCGGTAGGTACGTGCAGCATTTTTATTACCTTTCATTACCTCGCATTTGCGCCTAGGCGGAAAATTCTAGCCGGGTTCGTTACGGAAAATAGCACAAAAATAACCACCCAAATTTCGTCAGGGTCTCAAAGCTTTTTATTACAATAAATGCTTTTAAAGGAAGATACGTGAACTTAAAATAAACCCGTGCCATATAACTTTACCTGTATATAAGTAGTACAAGTTTACGACAATGTGGCGGTTTTAGTAACGTCTTTATATAGCTTATAAACATGCACAATTTTTTCAAAGCAATACATGTTTGTCTTATGTAGAGAAAATATGCTTGAAACTAACATTTCCACGATTTTGATTTTGACAGCTGCGCCAAATCGTCTCCTTTTTAGAAATTGAAGCGACTTAGAAGCACCTGACTGTCTCAAATAATGTATGCAACACGGGCACAA